TCGAATCATATTTCCTGATTCAATTCGTTGATTTGAGTCAGACAAATCCATGATTCGAATCAGAAGTACATAACCAAAATCCAAAATTTGCATCCAATTTTTTATTTGAGTCAAGCCATTTTGTGATCCAAAACAAGACGTCTATGATTCGAGTCAGTCTATTTTATGATAGAATCAGAAATACATAAGCAAAATCCTGCTTTTTAGATTCCATATTTGATTCAAGTCACCCATTTTCATGATTTTTACATTCAATTTTAGTTTTAGTCAGTCAATTCCCTAATTCAAATCACACTAAAAAAACTCAGTTTTTATACAAAAAATGAAGTGTTTATTTGAATCGAGACTTGATAAAAAAAACTCAGTTTTTTAACAAAGCACGCACACACGCACACACAGACACACACGCACACACACACACATACACACACACACTCACTCACACACACACACACACACATACACACACGCGTACACACACACACGCACGTGTGAGCGCACGCGCGCGTGGACACACACACGCGCGTACATGCACACACACACATACACAAACACACACACACACACGCACACACACACGTACCCGCACACACATGCTTACGCGCACTCGCGCGCACACACACATACACGCGTACATGAACACACACACATACACAAACACACACACGCACACGCACACGTACCCGCACACACACACGCACACACGTACCCGCACACACGCATGCTTACGCGCACTCGCGCGCGCACACACACACACACACACACGTACATGCACACACACACACATAAACACACACACACACACGCACACGTACCCGCACACACATGCTTACGCGCACGCGCGCGCACACACACACACAAACAGAGACGCGCACACGCTCACACACGCACACGCAGGCGCGCACACGCACACACAGACGTATATGCACATGCAAGCTCGCACGCGCGTGCACACACACACATACACACACAACACACACACACAACACACACATACGCTCTTACACGCGCGCGCGCGCACACACACACACACACACAGGCGCGTACGCGCTCACACACGCAGACGCACACGCGCGCACACACACACACACTAACGCGTACCCACACGCACACGCGCACACACACATACATATTCACACACGTGCGCGCGCGCACGCACGCACACTCACACACAAGCGCGCACACTCACGCAGACACACGCGCGCGCGCGCACAAATACGCACACACACTCACACACAAGCGCACACACCCACGCAAACACACACGCGCGCGCGCAAGCACGGACGCACACTCACTCCCAGGCGCACACACACACACACGCACACGCATAAATTTGCAAGATTAATTTAAAAAACATATTATATATTTTTATAAAAAAAAGACTTTAAAAAAGAGATTATATATATATATATATATATATATATATATATATATATATATATATATATATATATATATATATATATATATATATATATATATATATATATATATATATATATATATATATATATATATATATATATATATATATATATATATATATATATATATATATATATATATATATATATATATATATATATATATATATATATATATATATATATATATATATATATATATATATATATATATATATATATATATATATATATATATATATATATATATATATATATATATATATATATATATATATATATATATATATATATATATATATATATATATATATATATATATATATATATACTTTTTAAATCTTATATATAATATACTTTAAATCTTATAGAAAACAAATTATTAAATATTTTTACAAAATAATAGATTATATATTACTATACTGTTTTTATTTAGAAAGTATGAATTAAATCATAAGAGTATATAATTTATAATACAGATTTGTTATATATTAATATACATTTTTTTATTCAGAAAGTATACATTATTTTAATTTCCTTTATATTTATTAAGATATACATGATTATACTTTATTTAATTTTTTTTGAATTCATAAAATAATGTAGGAGAAATATTGTTGGGACATTACATATCAACACCAAGTAAGAGAAAATTTTGACTCGAAATGTGGTGCTCGATTATCTGAAACGCTTAGGCGTGTTAGAATTAATTGGGAAAGAAAAGGAACACACCTTTGTTGGATAGGTGAAGATGTATTTTAACAAATTATTGACCATTGGAATTCAGATACCTTTAAGAAAGTATCTGAAACAACAACAAAAAAAATAGAGCATCTGAAATTGGTGGCTGCAACTAAGCGGTAGATAATATAATGTTGTTGAAATTGTACGAAGGATGGTATATTTATTTCTGCTTTACTTAAATTTTCATTTAGAATTTAGATTAAAACTAATTATTTTTTAACTTATGTTTCATTTAATTAGCGTGAAGAGTTGGGTAGAACTCTTTTACTTAATGAGATCCATCTAGAGACTCATATAAAAAAATGGAGAGTTTGTCGATCAACGCTCAAAAGACACTCAAGTAAGTTTTTCTTATATTTAGTCATTTTACTTATATCTCTTACGTACCTATCTTATTTAAATTATGATAACATCTAATTTATTTATTTTTATAGGAGGAGTATGATAGAAAACTTGCACTTTCTTTATCAGAGCATCCTAAGTTATCTCTACCGTCACCGAGATATCTTGTTGATCCTTGTTTGGATTTTCGAATTTGGTATGATGTTGCTCATAGGAAGAGGAAAAATGGGAGAGTGTATGGTGCTGAAGGGTATGCCAAAATAATCAAGTGGTGTGATAGGAGTTTCAAAATGAGACTTGATGAGGAAGCAATGCGTATTGCAAATGAGTGCGCACAAAGATTTGAACAATTTGACCTCGCATATGAATCAAGGTTTTGGAGGAGGAGATAAAGAAGATAAGGAGGATGAAGAAGAACTTGATTAAATTTGTTTGAAATATGAAACTTTTAATATGTATTTTTTATTTTATTTTTAATTCATCTTTGTCATGAATTATTTTTATTTTGATGGATGTGAATTTAATTTATTTTTATTTCCTTTTTAATCACAAATCATTTTATTTTCTAATTTATTTTACAAAATTTTGAAATTTCACAAAATTTAAAAATACATATTTATTTATTATGATTATATTATTATAAATTATATTAATATAATTACAATTTTTTTATATAATATTATAAACATTAACTAGAGGTTAATCCTCTCACGAAGTCCAAAACGTATATCAATTTGCTAGGAATTTTACTCCTCGCAAATATCTGACTCACTTAGCTAGGGGTTTTATCCCTCACAAAATGCAAAACATAGATAAGCCCCTAGCAAAATACCTGACACGTCTGCACCACTAGATTGCTCTTACGCCTATAATGTAACAGGCTGAATTTCATTACTTAGATTTTACGAGGGGCTTATCCCCTAGCTATTTTTACGGGGGCGCTTATCCCCCCAAACCATTTATTTGCGATGCCCTATTTGGTGAGGAGTCATAACTCTGATGTGAATTTACCATTGTCTATCATTTATGCATTTATCATTTTGACAACCATCTTTTCTTTTATATATTGATAGGTATTCACATTAGTATGATGCTGGTTGAAAATAAAGCACCAATCTGCTACATTTTTTATTGACATAATTGCAATTACTCTGCTGGAATAAGTTTAATGATTTAGGCGAAGAATCTATGGTATTTCTTGCACTTATAAATTTTGTATTGAAATCATAACGACCATGTTTAACTTTGTATTTTTATATTTGCAACTATATAAATGTCAATTTAAAACAATTGTTTCAATACTTTGTTAAATATGTAATTTATTATTTTAGAAAGATTAGATTTGATTTAGAAAGATTTGATTTGATTTAAAAAGATTATGTTAGATATTTTTGGGTTTTTATAATTTAGGTTTTAGGTTGGGGTGCAAGCAAACCTAAATCTATAAATAGGGAGAAACTCTTATTTTGTAAACATTTTTATCTCAGAATATTTTATAATTCACAGTTTGCAGTTGCAAGTGAAATAACATAATTTTCACAGTTTGTGGACAAAAATTGTTCATCTTCTTCTTCTTCAACGTTTACTTTCTTTCTTTCTAAACTTTTCTTTCATTGTCATTACGTGAGTTGAAACAATCTTGAGATCAAGATTAATTGAGTGAAATTCTCCATAGGTTGTGGTTGAATTCCAACATACTTTACTTACCTATTGTTAGGGGTAAGCAAAACCCAACCCAACCCGAAGACCCGTCCCAACCTAATATAGGTGGGATGGGTTCGGGTTGACCCTCGAGTTACCCAACCCGTCCTAATATTATGAATGAACATGTGATACTATTTATTTATTTATTTAATTTATTGGTATATTTAGATTATTCCAAATTTCCAATAGACTTTTTCACTTTTCACCTCATAATTTAATATATGAACTAAATAAATATTAAGTACACATCTGTTCTCTTACATCATGTTTTTTTTTACATCTTCTTAGTATGTTTTAGGGAAAATAAAAAGGTGATGACATATTATCGGAATTTTTACGAATTTAGGTACGAGTTAGGGTCATTAAAATAACCCGATCAAAATTTTGAACAGGGTTAGGGTTAGTCATAACCCATCCCGACCCGTCCCTTGCTCACCCCTACCTATTGTTACTAAAAACTACCAATTAAATTTTTATTTATTAATATTATTTTTAAAAATTATCTAATCAAATAATACTACTCCGTACCATATACTTTTATAGCAAGCAAAAATATTTATACTATCTCAAAGGTGGATATAAAGGAAAATAAGATACCAAAACATAAAAGGGTAGAAGAAAAAAAACTAAACAATAAAACATGAATATAAAAACTTGCACATCATACAACTAACATACACACCTAATGAAGTGGGTTGAGTATTACTACTATATCCCTCCATACATGTTACAAAGAGTAGCTTCAGCTGAATTCATGTATGATTTTGAGGTGGATCAGTTGTAATTTCAATGATGAGGAGCATGAAGAGGTGGAGCTGCAACCATGGGTGGTGTTGGAGGGTCACATTGGTAACATTTAGCAAAAAGCCCAAATGTGTCAATTTGTCTAATGATGTTTGTCATACTAGCCCATCCTCCAAACCCAAACCCAACCACCAAAACCCATACCACAATAAATGTATTAACAATATACATTGCTGTCCAACTTGGTATGAAAAATGGAGGCTTTTCAACAGCATTCTACAAAATGATAGCAATGTAAAGTTAAATCATCAACTACTATACAAACACATATCAGACACGTTACTGACTTATAATGATTGACGATACTGATACTAACACGTCAATACCTATAATATTATCGAACATATAAGATCCTATACGAACACATATTTAGCAAACCAAACTAAATTAAAGTTAAAAACTTTGAAATACACGACCGATATACCTGTCTTGCGGACGCGTTTCTAAAAGTGACCATATATGCTATTGAAGGAATGATGTAGACAGTGAAGCTAACAAGAATAGATCCAACAGCAGAGTTAATGGGTCCAAAGAAAGGAAAAATAATGGCCAAAAACCAAATAGGTATCACCACTGGTAACCTTGCTAGTGCCCTTAAACAAATGCTTTTTGCATCATGCATTCCAATTACTTTCTCCCATACAAAGTACAATGGAGTACAAACAAAACCAAATGTGATGAACTGCACACGTTTATTAGTGGAAAAAATTAGAATAAAATTTTCGTACATGTATATATATATATATTAACCACTCATTTTGATCCAATGGTTTATTACCTGGTGAATGATCATAAGGATAACAGCAGCATCACGAAAACGGGTTTTGGGGAGAAGAGAGAAAGCATTGGCATGATTAAGAAGTTGATCGCCAAATGCCCAATAAACAACCGAAGCAGAAGGAATCGTTAATGTGAAAACATATAAAGTTGCCAACAAGTATACGTGCTTGAACTTTTGTGGTTTCCACATGGCGTGCATAGTCTCTCTGCATTTTTATTTTATTTTTTCATTTAGATAATCACAATAACTAATCACATTAGAACTTCTAAAAAAAACTAAAAAAATATTCTAGAACTCACACTGTAACAGCATGTCCACCAAATGTGTATAGTATATTGGTTGCTCCAGTGAAGTATAACACTAACTTATTTGGACCAGTATGTGTCACATTTTCAGCCTGCAAAATTCATATCTTAGTATATTATGATGATAATAATAATGGTTTGAATAATAAAGATGTAAGAATTTTATTGATTTACTTGTCCATGAAGAATAGCTGCTGTAGTGAGATACCAAGCAGTGTAAGTTGTCATTCCAACTCCAAGAAAAGACCAAATACGGTAATTTTGGAAGGATGGTATGAAGACAGTTGTTGCACAACATGCTCCAAATATGTAAGTCCAAGTTCTTTTGTCTAAGTTGTCACTTACGTAGTAGACGTTGCTGTGTAGAAAAGGTGTTAACAGTTTAGCGTATGTTTCGTTGTAATGAATTGTGGGGACAAATTTGTTGAAGAAATGAAGAAAAAGATAACTAACCTTGCACAAGCTATAAGCTGAATCACACATGCAAAGATAAGATAAGTACAATTAAAAGCTAGCCCCGCTGCTTTCCAAAATGGGCCCAGCAATCCATCAAGAATTTCAAACCACTGAAAACCATTCCAATATGTTTTAATTCAATAATAATAATAATAATAATCTATAACATATATAAACGCAATACTTGATTTTTGGTGTAGCTTTTTTTATACCAAATTTACCTTTATTTTAAAATATATAACTTACACAATAACTTCCATTGAACTACTACTATCATCTTTCATATAACTCCCTACTAATAACTTCCCACATAACTTTCATGTAAAATTAATATTAAATAAAAATATATCATTTATATTTATATGTGTACAATAAAAAAAGGGACAGACATTCGCGTGCCCGTCTGAACGCTAGTAATAATAATAGTAATAATAACATTGGTAACGTTGTGTGCATATTCCGTATTGATTTGTCAATTTAGTATTCTTTATTCTCCCCAACGTGTCATATAATGGAATTGAGCTTTATTCTATGTAAGTTTAATTCGATTCCATTTCTTGATTTGTCAATTTTCTTTTATATTTCACTCAAAAATATTTAGTTGATTTAAAATTTATATTCATGATTTATAGAACTTGAATTCTTTTATAAATTTTTTGAATATTTGATCTTAATTAAAATAATATACTAATCTTAATTTACATGAGGAGTGCTAGCAACACTCTCTTTTTAACACTCTCTCAAATATTGATTGAAACATGTGTGAGTTTCTCATTTTATAAATAAATTCTACATAAAATAGTAAGACTCATAAATATTTCAACCAATAAAAAAATAAATTTTTAAAAAAATGTTAAAAAGAGAGTCGATTTTTCTAACTTACATTTTCTTAAGATAAGAAGCAAAAATATATATTTTTGTGAAATTCTCATTTGAAAGTAGCAATATGTTTATTTCTCTTCTATTCAAGTGATATGATTATAAAAGTATTTAGCTAAATTATAATTTTAATCCTCTAAAATTATTTGATTTACGAAATTAACCTCCATATTTTAAAATCAAATAATTTTGATCACTTACAATTTTTCATAGAAAATCAATTAAATATATATTTTTTAATTTATATTTTTATCTGTATAATTCTATAATATATTTATATAGAACGATTTTTCATATTTTACAAGCAACTTATCATTTAAAAATTAAAAATATCGTTAATTTTAAGTGTAAAAGTATGAAAGATAAACTAAAACTGTTTTATAGGAAATTAATTTCATAAATCATGTAAAATCGAACATCAAAACTATATTTAAGACAACCTAAACAGAGGGAGCCATACAAAAATGTAATAATTCCAGTTTGTGTATTAGTTTGATAGAATAACTTTAAACTGAATGACATAGCGAAAGTTATACTATGAAACAGATTAGAAACGAGTGGTGGTGAAAAAGAAACATACTTGAATGACATGGGTGTTGAACTTAACATTTTCCTTTTCTTTTCTGGTTCGATACTCCATATAGAGAACACTGATGAGATAAGCAGTCCAACATCCAAGAATTCCATATAATATTTGAAGCAAGATTCCAGATAGCATACCAAGTTGAGAAAATGAATATGGCAGTGTCAACAACACTTGAGCCACCTAAAAAAACCATCAAAATGAGTTATAATGAAGATTTCATAGATGTTATGAAGCTCAGACATCTGCTCGATCCTGACAATGACACAGTAACATAGATAATAATTTAAAATGATAAATTATTTAAACATTATATCAAGTGTCTTTATATGTATCTGACACCGACGTCAACACGTCATTTTCAAAGATGTCCGTGTTATATAAAATAGAAGAGAAAAAAAAGTTAATTTTTTATAAAATGATTTATACTTGATTTGAAGAACATGTGAACCATGCATCGTAAACAGAACCACCATGCCAAAGTAAATCCTTGACACTGAATGAATGATCTTGTTCTTGATCTTCATCCTTTCCAAGTATTCCTTGTTGATTTGTAGTATCATTGAAACTGTTACTAACTACTGCTTCATCTGCATGTTTCTGAGACACCATTATTTCTGTCTTTTGTCACAAAAATCTGACTTAAAAAGGAAGCACGAATTGGCACAAAAAAAGCAGAAACTAAACGGTAAAGACGGCTTTCCCGTAAAGCAGGAATGAAACTAGTTTCTGAGTTTAGTTATGAAGAAACTGAACTAGATTACTATATATAAATATAGAAGTATAAAAGGCTATTTTTGTTATTATGCTTTGAAATAGACTGATGACAGTGGATGATATATTTTAATTCTAAAATATAGGATTGAATTTGAAGCAACAAAGAATTTATTAACTGTTTGTGATTGTGATTGGTGCTTGTGAATAGTATGATTGGTGATTGTGATTTGGGATTTGGATTTGGAATTATTTGGAGAGAGATGGGTGTGGTTAGTGGTGATGTGAGTGGCTATACTTTATTAAAAACTTTATTGAAAGAGTAAAATCAATGAAAGAATAAATAAATAAAAGGTTTAATTGCAGCTATAGTCTCGCTATTTTGTATTTTTTTTAGTTTTGGTTCTTTTATTTTAAAAATTATGATTTTGATCCATTTTTTATGTTTTGAGTCTGATTTTAGTCCCCTCTTTAATTTTAAATTTTTTTTAATGATATGACACTATTTAAGATGACGTGTCTAATGCCAAATCATTTTAAAAAAATTAATTTAAGACTTTTTTTATTGACTATGATAATTAACTTATTAATATTATTTTAATTAATTAATTAAAATTTTAAATGAAACTCTTTGAGAGTTTAATTATTGGCCCATATCTTTGGTCCATCTTTCTAACCAACAATTGAATTGTTGTGTTTGTTTCAGCTTTATAAACACTTTTATATCTTATACAAAAATCAATGTGGGACTTTTAAAAGATATTTTATACTACAACATTATCTCATTCTTCTTCGTTGCAGCAACTTCTCCTTGTTCTCAAACTCATGTCCACCAAAGACATTTTAAAGCAGTTTATCCTTAAAAAGGCTCAGCAAGTGGAATACCAAATCACTCTCAATTCGCACTCCACCAAAGCCAATAAATCTGTTAATCACTTCCTTGTTAAAGAACTTGGAAGTTTTTGGATTATTCATGGCTGGAATTAACAAAGCTTCAATGAAGTAGCATCCAGGCTCCACCGTGATTACCTAGAAGCATAAAAACAAGTTAGGCTTTCATCATGTTCATATTTCTAATTTCATATCACAAAAGATGGTATTAACAAGTAGAAATCGAAGGAGAAAAATAAAACTCAACTAAGGTAACAATGGTTTACACATTATAATGTTGTAGTATCCTTAACAGTCATGTTGTGATTCTGAAGCCTGCATTAGAGATAAAGTCACATCTGAATATTATGCTTGATGCATGACAATAATCAAATTCAGTGATTTTGACGGATAATAATTTTCTTTGACCACCAGATATGGAAAACGACTTTCTATGTCAAGGTTCGCATTTTCAATTAAATTTAAGTTTCCATAGTAAATTTGCAGCTCTAGGGAATAGAAAAAAAAAATCATCTGGAATGTAAACGAATAAATGTAAAAGGTTATAGTTTGTACCACTTATTCACACGAGAAGTATTGGTCTAGCAATCTGTCCAAATAATCAGTGATTTCTTATAAATTAGCATTGATACAAAATGGCTTATAACTTGCACTAAATAAATTTTTCTTTTTTATTATGATTATTATCATTTCAATTGCTATGAAACCACAAACATTGTTACACATTTCCATACTATAACTACAGTTTATAGAAATGATTCATAGGATAAATTAAGATTGTACAAATAATAAAAATGATTCATAGGACTTTGGTTAACAGATTAAATATTTCATGTCAAGTGGTTATTTAGCACGTTGCGAGAAGAAAGTCAAGCATAACAACCTGTATTCACTTCATCACCACCCAAGTGAAATAATTCAAAGGGGAATATTTTTCTCATATCTGTAAATTTAGAAGAAAATAGTTAGAAAAGTAAAACATTCTGCTATGTAAAACATTCCATAGCAGCAGTACATGAAAAACAGCATGGTCTCAAAATGTCAAACAACCAATAGGAAAGTACAAAGGAACTTGTGATATTTCTCATACAAGTTTGGCATATGACATAGATTCAATTATCTGCTTAATAACATTAATTGGTAAATAGTGTCTTGATGTATCTGCAACACAAAGAAACCAAAGATTTGTGTCAATGGCCTCTTATCAAAGCATATGAGCAAACCGAATATAATATAAACTAGTCTCTTTTATAAAATATATCACATCATATAAACTAGCTCTTTGGTGGACACGAGTTTGAGAACAATGAGAAGTTGCTACAATGAAGAAGAATGAGATAATGTTGTAGTATAAAATGTCTTTTAGAATTTCCACATTGATTTTTGTATAAGATATAAAAGTGTTTATAAAGCTGAAACAAACACAACAATTGAATTGTTGGTTAGAAAGATGGACCAAAGACATGGGTCAATAACTAAAGGCCTAAAGAGTTTCATTTATAATCTTTATTAATTAATTAATTATAAAAATTAATAATAAAATATTAATCATTAATTAATTAATTAAAATAATATTAATAAGTTAATTATCCTAGTCAATAAAAAAAGTCTTACATTAATTTTTTTAAAATGACCTGACATTAGACACGTCATCTTAGATAATGCCACATCATTAAAAAAAATTTAAAATTGGAGAGAGGACTAAAATCAAACTCAAAACTTAAAAAAGGGACAAAAATCGTGGTTTTTAAAATAGGGGGACCAAAACCCAAAAAAATACAAAATTCGGAGACCATAGTTGCAATTAAGCCTAAATAAAATTATAAATTATTTTTTCAAAAGATAACTGTTATTTTTGGAACACTTAACATATTCATGTTTGCTATATGTAGAAGTATTCAAATCCAAAATAATTTGAATATTGTAAACCAGTATAAAAATTTGAAAATCATTAAAAAAAATTCAAATATTATTAAATTTGTTTGAATATTATTTTTAAAAAACCCTTGATTCGAAGTGGATTTTGATTTTTTTTTAAAACTGATTCAAATCAAATCGAATCGCATGTATATGCTTATTTTTTTTATTAATATGATATATTTTGTTAATTTATTATTTGATAATATTATTTTTTAATATAATTTATTATTTTAATTTAATTTATTTATTTATATTATTTTATTTGTTTCAAGTATAATCGATCATTCTTATTTAATAATATTAATATTTAATATATTACATCTTAGAGCATCTTTAGTGGGAGTAAACTAAATGGGTAAACTAAGATACTTTTTGTGGGCTCAAAGTGATTTGTAGGATTTAAAAAATTTATAGTTGATTTGAGTAGTTTTTACTTTAATGGTGGGGAAGTTTTACCCCATACCCCTACATTTATACCTATACCCCTACATTAAAAAATTTTGGACCAAAATATCCTCGTATAAAAATTTATTATTTTTTAATTTTTTTTATATTTTTTTATTTGTTTACCGGAAGACTTTTTGGAAGTCTTTCGGTTCACATTTTTTTAGTATGTCTACCGGAAGACTTTTTGGAAGTCTTCCGGTACATATTTTTTTCGTCTATTTAACGGAAAACTTTTTGGAAGTCTTCCGGTTCATGTTTTTTTTTTAATTTGTAATTAATATTTAAGATTTATTAATTTTATATAAAGACCAGTTTAGTAAATTTTTGAATATTATACTTAAAATATAAAAATTCTATAAATAGAGAATCATTTTCAGAATATTTTCTATTTATTATAATTATTAGAATACTAGGATTAAAATCATTTATTTTAAATGATCATAATAGTAGAATTTTCTCAAATATCTTATTAATCTTAAACATTAATAAATAAAATAAATTTAAATATAAGATATAAGTTTACATTATTCAATATATTTAATCAAATGAAAACATATGTGATAAATAAATAATGTATTTTAACTTAAAATGATCACAATAAGTTAACTTGCAAAATAATATAAGTAATAAATTAATAATGTATTTTATTTAAAATAATCACAATAATAAAATACGCAAATAATGTGTTTTATTTATAGGACTGATATAGTTTTATTGATTATTTAATTTTGAATACTACTATGAATATAGAATTTAATCTATACTTTAGAACTCACATAATTATAAATATAAAAAATATTGTTTTATTACCCATATTTTTATTTAATTAAAAAAAATAAGAATATAAATTTATTATTTGTTTTTCATTTTTGTTTGATCTTTTTAATTATTTCACTTTATTTAATATTTTTAATAAAATAAATAATATATTTTATTTAAAGTAAGCACAGTATAGAATATGCAAAAAATTTATAAATAAAAAAAAGATCAAATTACTATTTACTATAATTATTAGAATACTAGGACCAATTTACTATAAATAGAATATTTTCTATTTACTATATTTTCGTTTGATCTTTTTTTTATTTATAAATTTTTTGCATATTCTATACTGTGCTTACTTTAAATAAAATATATTATTTATTTTATTAAAAATATTAAATAAAGTGAAATAATTAAAAAGATCAAACAAAAATAAAAAACAAATAATAAATTTATATTCTTATTTTTTTTAATTAAATAAAAATATGGGTAATAAAACAATATTTTTTATATTTATAATTATGTGAGTTCTAAAGTATAGATTAAATACTATATTCATAGTAGTATTCAAAATTAAATAATCAATAAAACTATATCAGTCCTATAAATAAAACACATTATTTGCGTATTTTATTATTGTGATTATTTTAAATAAAATACATTATTAATTTATTACTTATATTATTTTGCAAGTTAACTTATTGTGATCATTTTAAGTTAAAATACATTATTTATTTATCATATATGTTTTCATTTGATTAAATATATTGAATAATGTAAACTTATATCTTATATTTTCTATTTAATTTATTTATTAATGTTTAAGATTAATAAGATATTTGAGAAAATTCTACTATTATGATCATTTAAAATAAATG